ATGGTTGCGGCACCACAGTATGGTAACTATGCAGAAATCCAAGAAACAGGAGTGCGCAAGAGATGTAAGGTGGATGGGCAGGATATGGAGGTAACTTTCTTTCAAGCTTATAATGATGGCATGGATTTTGTGTTCATCGACAGCCCCATGTTCCGCAATTTTGAGAAGAATATATATATGGGGGGCCGAGACGATATTTTAAAATGCATGGGTCTCTTCGGTAAGGCTGCTCTTGAGGTTCCCTTCTGCAAGTATACCCGGTGCGTTCCTATGATCCACAACATAGCACATCGGGGCCGTGGACAAGTATGCGATTTATGTTATGAAGATCTTCCACAAAACTACTTCAAACTATATGACCCAGGAGGTGGAAAACACTTCAATGTCCTTACGACTGGCCTGAGTGCAGCAGATCGTGTAGTCACTGTAAGCCATGGTTACGCCTAGGAGTTGGAAACTAATGAAGGTGGTTGGGGTCTGCATCAAATAATCTAGCTTTATGCACTGAGATACGGGGCAGTCCCTATTGTTCATACTGTTGGTGGATTGAGAAATAGTGTGCAACCGTTTGATCCATTCGCAGAGTCCCAAGCCATGTATCTGGAATACGAGCTTGAGAACAAGCTTGTAGTCCGGGAGGGGTGTAATGTTATGATCACACCATCCGGCAGTGCACTGCGGGGCAGTCATAGGCAGCAGCACGCACAGCAGGCCGCATAGCAGTAGGAACCGCCTGGCAGAGCCGCACAGCAACACGCACCGTTGATAGCATGCAGCACGCACCGCCAGGCAGCAGCGTGCACCGCACGCACAACACGGCAGCACGCACCGTGCACACGGCCGACACCACACGGCAGCGGCACTATGGCGCACAACACGCACCGCCAGGCAGCAGCGCGCATCGCACGCACTGCACAGCAGCACGCACTGCGCACACGCCCGACACCGCACGGCAATTGCGCCATGAACCGCGCGCACGCACTGCGCAGCACTCGGATCGTCATCAGTATTGCATACATGATCAGTATTGCATACAGCTTTCTCCTGTAGCARATAAAACTGGTCATCCAGAGGGACAGCGATACATGAACACTGACTTTTCGTCTGGTTCATAAAGAAAAGTCAGTGTCAGATTCAATAATTTCAAGGCAAACTCCATAAAATTTCCAGTCCGACAACTTTGTCCAGTTTTTTATTGAATCTAGAGCCATGGGCCAAGCTAACTCGTAGCATTTAGCTAATATGC